CGTTTTTGAAAAAAAAAAAAATACTTATACTCGGTTCGTAATTTATTAGGTATACTGAAAGACTTCAATCGAACAATCAACAGAATAACCGCATTATCATAGTGTTATCGTCATTTTTATTTTATCATGGTTCCAATTTCGATACTTTGAGATGTGTCGGCCAAGATTAATAGTTATCTTGCATAAAGACAATAACAATGATAATAATTAAGAAAATTCGAAATAAAAATATCTGGAAAAAATGTTAATTACAAACCCCAACAATTATGGCAAAAACGTGAACAATCTTCAACGAAGGAAAAAACTAAAAACGAAGTTTAATATCAACAAAATTCAAAAGGACAACTAGAAACTAAAATAAATTCTAAATATACAAAATTTGATCTTCCCCTTTTTTCCCTTCAAATTTCTTTCCCCAAATCAAAGCGCGAATTAATCACACATTACGTCTGGCAAAGATTGGCGCACCGAACACGCCACAACCTGCGCCCATTGCTTCAATTTCGTCTTCACAGTCGCCGGGTCATCACCTTCATATACAATTTCAAATCACCAATACAAATCAGCTCCAATTCAATCGTCATATAACTCTGACTCAAACACAAGCACAAATTTTCCCAAACAATCCCATAAGACGAACTAGAAATAAACAGAAAAAAAAAAAAGAAATCTTACTTGGATCAATTATAGAATCTGGACTCCCGACCGAGAACGATGCCGTATCCGCATCGGAAAACGTCGCCGATGAGGATCTGGACAAGCTGTCGCAGTACCGCCGGTTCACGGCGCAGTAGAACTCTAACGCCGGGAAGGTAGACGAAAGCTTCGGATCCAAATCCGTCGAGTCGAAGTTGAACCCCAAATCGAAGCAGGCGCGGAGCTCGTCGAGGTCGTCGTCGGTGACGCTGCGGCCGCGGCGCCTGAGGTTGTTCTTCCGGCGATTCATCCAGTTCTCTTCGCGGATGATGTCCGGCGACCAGGAGTTTTGCTTGAACAGAGGCGGCGGGGCTCCGTCGCGGCGGGGGCGGGGTTCCGGTGCCGACATGGAGAATACGACAGCGTATAGGAAGGGAGAATATAATAATTAATAAGGGCAAGCGGGAATAGAGGGATATGGAATATATATTATGAGGTTTATAATGTGGGTTGGGGCGGAGCTGGATTGGTGGTGGCGTGATTTAAGTATTTGCAAGGATTGTGGGACCGACACGCGTGACGTGGCCGCTGGGTCTACCGTGCGCCGCCTCATTAATCTTTTGCTTGGGAGCCAACTCTAGACTCTAGTGTGGGAATATTCTCGACTAATTGTTGTGTCCAAGTATTTTATTCGTTTGTGCTTTCAAAAGTAACCTCAAATAAATAAATAAACAGAGATTGATTAGTAAAACCAAATTAAATAGTTAATATTTGGATTTTATAGTTGCGTAAGACCGCAATTCTGTGTAACTTTTGTGTAGATGTCCTCAATTTGATGGTTAGGTTTTATTTTTCTACATAATTTTTTTTTTTTTTGGTACAAATTTTTCTACATAAGTTAATCATAAACATGAATTAAACTTATAAAGAAATACGGATATAGAAATCTTCCGTTGCTGGTTAGGTTTTGTTTTTTTCTACATAAATTAATCATAAAAAAAGGTAATTGATTTAATATATATGTTTAGATGTTGAATATGTTTTCGAATGTTAATTTTTTATATTGCGGAGGATTTTAATGTTTAGTTGATGTTTATTAATAATTTATGTTTAAGCAAGATCACATGATCTAATAATACAAACTGAAAATAACTACAAATGAACTAAATATAAATATAAATAAGAAAAAGTTCCTAATTTTTCAATAAAATACATTCTTTATACAAAGTTGAAATATTTTTAAAATTATCATCTTTATGAGAAAAAAAAAAGTTTTAAAAACGGTAATAAAAATGTAAATTAGCCGTACTCTTTCAGCTGCTCAGTTTGTGCATTCAACAAACTCCTGCAAATGACATTTGACCATCGGGAGCGAACTTCACAGTAACTGAAAGCATCAATAAAATGGAAATTTTCATTTGCAATCTCATTTTTCATAAATGCATCAAAATGTAATATTCCTCACACATCAGAATTCCAATATACACTTCTCTAGAACACTCACAATAGATCCAAACATTTCCTTCTCCATACTAGAAACAACATGATCGCATCAAATGAGCGAAAAAAGGATAAAAGTAAAAAACGACAGACCAAAAATAGCAAACATGTCTAACTTCATACCAAATACCCGCAAAATGTAGAGTAGTTTTCCTGAATGGTAGTCATGAACGAGGGCTCAACAAGCCATCACACCTAGTCTCTATGTCTTCACTCCTAGTTTCTATGACTAACACAAATTTGTGTATCAAAATTGTCTGCCATCACGAAAGCGCAAGAAAATCAGAAATGCCGATATTTATGGTTTTGAGTACTCAAAAACAAGACCCTCGGCCACACTCCTTGCCCTTGCTTGCCCAAAAAGCTTACTTACTATAGTGAGTGCAAAATCTGTTGCAGTAGAAAGTCCTTTGCACGTGACAACTTTCCCGTCAATAACTACTCGGGCATCATTTACAGTGTTGTTAAGCATGCTAATGACTGAAGGATGAGCTGTGGCTCGTTTATCCTGTTTTAGACACAGGAAGTGTTTAAGTGCAATATAACCTACTTCAAAATGTAAAAATCGAACACTCAGGACTGATCACGAAAATTGGGACCATGAGGTTTGGCCTAATTATAGGCAAAGCCAACTTACTGTATTCCCTGAAATATTACATTACAAATTTGTGAAATTTGTAAAATGGAAGCTAACATCAAAGGGGTTTGTAATTAGCCTACCTTTAGCAAACCTTGTCTGTGGAGGATTGTGGGTGAAGAACACATTGCACCCAGGATTCTCCCACCCAATTGTTGTTCTTTCAGCAACTTCTTCAGAATACGAGACTTGTGTAGCTTCTCAGAACCTAATTTTCCTCCCTTAAATGAACAAGAAAGGAAAACTNAAAATAGCAAGTATTTAGGAGGTTTCTTGAAAGGAAACACAACTCAGAGAACTCCAGAGGGTTTGTTTAGCACCTCAACTTCTGAAAGGGTATTTTCTATAATTAGGTTTTTTAAGATAACAAACACTTATTTGTTAGATTAATATGAACCCCACTATGGCACTTTAAGGTCCCTCAATCACTATTTTCGCAATAATAACTTCCCGAATTCATCGAGTATATACCCATAAATTTGGGAAGGAAGAATCTAAAATAGATATGGTCTAATGTACCCATTAATGTAAATAACTCAAAATGAAAACTTTTTTATAGATAAAAACGAATCACGTGTGAAATACAGAATGCTCATATAAAGAAAAAACAAAGTTATGAATTTTTTAGCCTTACCGGCAGGATGATTAGATCATAAACCATATTAGCAGCATCGCTGATCATTGTGTCTGCAATAATTTTAGTGCCACTTGTCGCAAAAACCTGCAATGATTTTTCAACTGAGGCAATTGTGACTTTTGCTTTTGCTCGTCTTAGAATATCCACAACAGTCACCACTTCAATTTCTTCTGACCCAGTGGCAACTGGAATGAGAACCTGTGGAGTTCAACAGAAACTAAGTTTTGGAAATTATTCGGACAGAGAGATGTGTTGGGCAAATGTAGAACTTCAAAATCCTCTCTAACCGGTAAGGTTGACAACGTACAATACGTACAATTCTGAACTTCTTAAATACCTGAGGAGCGTGATCGAGGGACCACGAGACCTCGTCAAATTCTTCTTTTCTAGAATTATCATCCGCAAGATTTAGTAGCTGTGCAGATGAGATGAGCAAAGTGAGCAAACTGTTACCTCCAGCTGGTTAAGCAAAAGTTAGCAACTAATGTAAGCAATCTAATCCGAGAAAAAGTTATCAGCTTTGAATAATCTCTCTTTCAAACTTCTCTCTTGCTGATTGAACAGAAAATATATCAATCATTAAAAAAATATTAGTTCAGTATTTACTTGGCATAAAGGAAATGTTTAACTGGGACAAATGTGATTCAATTGTTTATAACCAAAACTAATTCTTGTTTTCTTACCATTGAGACACATACTTCTTTAGCCACTGACTCACCAAAGAGCTGTTCCGCCAATGATACAGAAAATTGAAAACAAGTTCCGGGTCCTCGGCTAGTCGTTAGCTCGCCTGACACTTGTAAATTTGATTTGACAGCCCAAAAGGTCGGAAGCTTATCCATAAATGCAGGGTGACAAGTCACCTAACAGAACAAAATAAGAGCAAACAAGTGAGCCACCATATGCAGAGAGATGATTTCTCGTTTTTCAGTCATAGTAATTGCAAGAAACTCCTGCAGTAAATATAAAACAGGTTGAAATTTACCTTTTTTCTCCTGAGTAGTCCCCAAGGCAAAAGTGTAACAGCTGGGGCAGCACAAATGGCCGCATAAGGCCTCTGAGCCTCGGCATGTTTTTTCGTGATATCTTGCAAAATTTGGCAGTCCCTCAAACGAGTAGAGCCCGGCATCCCTCCCTAGTCAAATACAATGATTGCCTAGTCACTAGTATAATTTGAAATAACAAGCACCCCTTGAGGTCCGTATTTCATTTTCTTTTCATTTTTCTTTATGAAAAAACACATCTAAGATGTAATATGCCAAAATTACAAAAACCTGTTACTGTGTCGAGGTTCATGTGTTTTACAAGTTAAATGCCTAGGCTATGCTACCGCAGCAATTATATCGTACGATAATTGAACTCGTTTCCTAATTAGGCTAAACTTAATGGTAACAACTTTAGTTACCCTCAAAACTACAGCCCTGATTGAGAGAAACAAACTGTGAAAGCATTACAGTCCACAACAACCAAATGTCCAAATTTACATGAATCTTCCATCTAAAATTTCCAGAGTCTAATTTTGACACCCAAGAAATCAAATGAAACATAGACAAATGACCTTCACGTGCGCCCACACACTCACACACACTCAAAATAACAATAAAAATAACAACGATAACATATGATAAAATCCAAAATAAGGTTAAACCGGAGCTTCAAAGCAACTGACCGGAAGGGCAATGAGATCAAACGTTTGGTCACAACAAGAAGAGATAGTTTCATCGGCCACCAGCCTCGTGCCACTGGATGCCTCAACTTCCAATTTTTCCTCAACTGAAGCAACTGTCACATTTGCACCTGCTCTTCTTAAAACATCGATCATTATCACTGCCTCCATTTCTTCAGTCCCGAGCCCAATTGGCACCAGAATCTGTATAAAACAGTTCTCAAAATTCTCACACAAGGCCGGTTTCTATATAAGCTACCAGTAAACAACTAAACTCGAACCTGCTTATTAGAGAAAATTTACTCTACTAATCAATACGCTCCAACACAAAATATTCGGAATTTAGGAAGGGGGTGAAGAAATTCCAAAAGTACAAACTCACTTAAAAAAATACCCCACCAAAAACAAAAGGTGAACTGGAAATTAGGACCTTTTTTTGAGGAACTGGAGATGAAGGATTTGGAGTGGTATTGAGAGGTGACGAATCTTTGACGCGCTTTAGGGAGCGTTGTTTGGTAGCTGCCTTCTTCTGTGCCGTAGAGCTTTGAGTAGCTGCCCGTGTTGAGAAATTTGAGTACAAAACGGTAGAAATGAACGGCGGGGCTCTGTTGGCAGGCACTGGAAACACAGTCGGGAGAGACAACATTCTCATCCTCCTCTCTCTCTCTCTCTCTCTCTCTCTCTCTTCACCAAACACTTCATCAATGGATTGCTCCTAAAATCTGGGTTTATGTACACCCCGTCATGAGTTAAGGGTGCGATTTTTTAAGAATTTTTATAGGCCGATAGACTGTATTTAAAAAACTAGTATTCTATAATGTGAATTTGCACATATATAAATAAAATATTATAAGGTATTTAATATTTATATGCATATAATATTAAAATTATAAGTTAGATAATGATATCAAAATTTAAACATAGAGTATTATAAGTTATATTTATTCATATAATATTAAAATATTTTTAAATATATTGCAGGACCATTTTGGAGGAGGATTTTATTTCATGAGATTTAATTTTTCAAGATATTTGATGTATCTTTGTAATATCCGAAAAATAATTTTTTATTATTGTATGACTGCAATAGAAAATAGAGATATTTGTAGTCATTTTTAATTAGTTGTGAAATATGTATTTATATATTACCAAAATATATGTAGTATCAAAATAAAAATAAAAATATTTTGTATTTCGAGACATAAAATGCATTACAAAAAATGAGCACCATCTAAAATGGGACATGTCAAAATAATCGTGTAACTGAAAGTTACATATTT